TCCCTCTTCCCTCGCGGCGCCCACACCCGCTGCGGGCGCTCCCGGCTCTGGCGGTGGCATCGCCACCCACGTCGTCTCGTGGACGGCGTGGGTGTCTCCCGGCGGTGAAGCGCGGTCGTGCTTTGGCTGGAGGCTCGGAGCGGTGCCTCGTGGTGGAAGGCGCAGACTTCCACACTTGGTCCCTTGCCTCGCGAGCCGCCCTCCTCCCTCCCCGGCACCTAGAGACAGGTGTCTTCTCCTTCCGCCGTGCTGGACAAGAGGAGAGGGGGACGCCATGCGGGGACTTCCTCCTTTTTCTCTTCACTCTTGACGGTCTGTTTCCTCTGCCGGATCTCTGGGACTTGTGTCTGCTGTCGCTTTACGAAGCTGTTTCCCGCAAGCCGAGCCCCGGGTGCGGGGAGTGGGGGCTGCATCCCCCCGCCTCCCTCAGGCTGTGTCTCTGTTTCCTCCTCTGGGAGATGGTGACCGTCCTCTCCGGAGAGGCTCCCAGCCTGGGGGCCTGTGGGTGTCCCGCGCATGGACAGCGCTTTCCAACTCTCAAGCCCGGGGCCTGCGATGCCCGCTGTGCCCTGCGGTCTGGGCCGGGCTGAGCTCAGGTTGGCTCTTCCACCTCTCACTCCTGTCCACCCTTCTTCCCTGCCGCCCGGCCTGGCTGTCAGGCTCTACTTTGAATGTATTCTCCCCTGTCACTTGGGCTTTGGGTCCAGAGTGTGCGGGGAGATCGGCAGTGTCCTCCCAGGCCGGGGTGGGGTTCAGGGGGCGCAGGGCGTTGGTGTGGGGTCACACGTTCCCTTTGCGCTGCCAGAGCCGCAGGTCTCTTTGTCCCTGTCCCTGCTTCCGGCAGCCAGGCTGACACAGACGTCCCTGGGGACAGGCTGCAGGCCTCCCGTGAGAGCCCAGGGCCCTCGCTCCAGGCTTGGGGCCGTGCTGCGCCCTTCCAAATAGTGCAGGGGCCAGACAGTCTCAACCCGTGGGAGGTGCGTGGCTGTGGGTCAGGGTAGCCTGGCTTTGCATGGCCGGGCAGAGAAGGCCGTTTCCAAGGCCGCCGAGACCTGTCTCAAGCCGGGTACGCAGATGAAGAGGAAGAGTGCGAGGCTGGAAGTGCCAAGCTTCGGCCATGGCCGGGAGATGAGCCACCCTGACCTACCCTCGCCTTCCACACTGGGCCGCCCGGCTCTGGGCAGTGTTGGTTCCCTGCCCTCGGCCCATGGGTCGGGGTGCTCTGTGCTCATCGCACAGCCAGGACAACAGGCGAAAAGGTACTAGCTGGGGAGTTGTCTGCCCCCAGCCGAGGCCCCATATTTGTTGCCTCTTGCATTTGGGTGAGGGCCGGCGGGGGCAGCTGGCCCAGGCCTGGATCCCTGATGCTGTGGGGCTGGCACAGTGCTAGTTATCTGTGGCTGACTGCAGCTCACCCCGAGACCCAGAGGGGTGCTTACGACTCAGACCTTGGGCCACAAGCACCCAAAGGCTGGACAGGGTGGACGAGTCACCACTCAGGTGAGTCACTCAGGTGTCAGCAGCCACTGCTTCCCGTCACACCAGGCTGCCTGAGTGACCCCACGGCGTGGCCGCAGCAGCCTCTCCCTGAGCAAGAGACCCAGGAGGGCGGGGTTGCACTGTGTCCTGCCTGCGGTTGGTGGGTTTCCCAGTTCAGCCTGCAGTCAGGACACCCCAGAGCCAGAGCGTTGGCAGCGGAGTTTCCACACGAGGCCACCCTCCTGCTATCCACTGGCACAGCCCCTGAGGTATTATGGTGCCATGGCAGCCAAGTGGCCTGGATTCTCCGTTGGTCCCTCCTCCCTCACCCAGGGATGCTGCTGGTGGCTGCACTCTAAGGGCCTCGGAGGCCTTCACTGGGGGGCTCTGGCCTGTCCCACTCTCTTGGTTGGTTTTGAGGCTGGCCTTGCACTCACTGTGTAGCTCCATGTCGTGGCAATCTTCCTGCCTCAGCCTCATGAACACTAAGATCACAGGGCCTGGCTTGGCCCATCTTTTGTTTTGTTTTTTTTTGTTTGTTTGATTTTTTTTGAGACAGGGTCTCACTATGTAGTTGAGACTGGCCAGGAACTCACCATGTAGCCCAGGCTGGTCTCAAACTCACAGTGATCCTCCTGCCTCAGCCTCCCCAGTGCTGGGATTACAAGCATGCGCCACCACGCCCGGCTTGGCCCATCTTTATATTGGTTGGTTTGGGGGTGGAGGTACTTTGAAGCCAGAATGGTTCTATTTTTAAACAAAGCAAAACACAACAAGCCATGTGTGCCTGTGACCTAGCAGTCTGGGAGGCTGAGGCAGGAGGAACAAGCCTTTGAGCACAGCCCAAGCGATTTCGGGACCTTGTATATCTGCCAGTGTCTCCTAGAGAAACAGGTATAACACAGGGTACACACATGTGTAAGGATTTACAAAAGTGGCTCACAGTGGCCAGCCACAGGGTCGGGTGTAGAAGAGTGAAGGGTCTGTCTGTACCCTGGAGTCCGAAGGATCTCGTTAAAGGTCTGGAGTTCACTGTATGGTCCCATGGGGGTCTGTATCAGGAGTGCGAGGGGTCTGCGCTGGAAGCTGGAGTTAGCGGAAGCCAGGAGGCAGACTGGAGCTCCTCAGAAGAGACTGAAGCACCTCTGTCCCCCTTCATTTCCCCTTTAGACCACCCGGGCAGTGAGCAGCCCTACGGAGGGTCTTCCATGTAGGCTGTGGAATTGCTGAGCTGTTTGTGTATTTATTTATTTATTTTTATTTATTTTTGGTACCAGGGATCGAACTTGGATCCTTGTGCTTGCAAGGCAGGCAGCGGAACCACTGAGCTGTTTATTTAGAGATAAGGTCTCACTATGTAGTTCAGGCAGACCTGGAACTTGCAGAGATCCTCCTGCCTCAGCCGTCCAAGTGCTGGGACTACAGACCTGGGACACCACACCAGGTCTGTGGAGATGATTTAGTTGAGCTTCTCAATTAACACAAGCAACTGTCACATCCTGTCTCATCCCCCCACCCCAGTAGCTCAGTGTGAAGCCCTGGGTTCAACCCTGGTACAGGCTGAGGGAAACTTGACCCTCTGCCAGCCTTGGAGCCCGTTTGCCCAGTGCTCTTTCCCATGGGTGCAGCTGCCTCCTCTCCCAGAACTGCCTGGGCCAGTGCTACCCTCCTGGTGCTGACCCAGCTCCTGCCATTAAACTTTCCCTGCTGGCCCAGAAGACGGCTCGGCCTGTGCTGATGGTGGCCTGCGTAGGGCAAGGGCTGATCCAGTCCCTGGGGCCTCCTTCAGCACCATCTGCAAGCTGACCCTAAGCTTGATACCACCATCCCCTGCTTGCACAGGAGAAACTGAGGCACGGGGAAGAGAGACTATGCCTGAGGTCACCCTGGGTTAGTCAGGGGCCTGATATCTACTGGAGAAGCTTGAGCCCCAGAATTCCACTGAAGACCAGAATTTCAAATGCAGCAACTGTGCAGTTCAGAGTAGGGAGGCTGAGCTTGGGGCCTGTGCTCTTAGGCAGTGTGGCCCATGGTCACTATCCTTGTTTTTTGTTTTGTTATTTTGGGGTCTTTTTGGTACCATGGATCAGACTCAGAACCTTGCGCTTACAGGGCAGGTGTAGTATCCCTGAGCTAAATCCCCAGGCCTGTGTTTTCGTCTTTTGAGACAGAATCTTACCATGTAGCCCAGGGTGGCCTGGAACTCACAGCAATCCTTCTCCCTCAGCCTCCCTAGTGCTGAGCTTACAGACGTGCACTGTCATGCCCAGTGCAGCCCACAGGTTCACTGTCCGTGGTGGAGTCCCCCTGCCTGATACCCATGGTCTGTGGCTCGGAGGTGGTGGGCATTTTTGCTGAGAACATGACCCTTCCTTGTGGGCTTGGACCCCAGAGCTGTGGTGCCATCGTGGCCTCGGCCTTGGAGTGGGCTCTCCTGGCTGCTCTGGCTTCCCTCACCAGGGCTCCTGGCCTTTGTGCAGCCCCGCAGGGCCGGGGTCCACACTGCCCGTGATGGCTGTCCTCCCTGGACACCAGGCCCCACTCTGTGCTCCAGCCAGGCCTGGGAACCCTGGCCAGGTTGTTGGGGCCAGTGGGTCCTGGGGTCGCTTGTCTTCCGGGTGACGCCTGCCAGCGGCTCCACAGGGCTGCGCTTCACTTGGGTCCCCGCCCACGTAGTCCACCTTGGCCTCGGAAGTTTTTGTGAACGTCAGTTGCTCTCCTCCTCTTTAAAAATCTGTGTAAGTGATCTCAGGACCCGGGAGCACCGCAGCTCCCCAGGTAGCAGTGCTGGGCTGTGTGTGGTCCTTGCTGGGCTGGCACCAGGGCTCTTCAGCTGCTTATGTGAGACCTGCGAGGGCCCGTGTATCTGTCTGTCTTACATCCATCCATCCATCTTTGCTATATTAAGGATTGAACGCAGGGACCCAGAGCCTTCCCACTGAGCTGCATCCCCAGCCCTCTTACTTTTTACTTTGAGACAGGGTCTTACTGTGTCATTAAAGGCTGGGTTCCAACTTGTGACCCTCCTGCCTCAGCCTCCCAGAGCACTGCCACCACACCTGGCCTGAATCGCTGCCTTGTTCACCTGGGGACAAGTGACAGCCACTCTGTTCCTCCTGTACTCTCAGCCCTGCTGGGGATCTGGTCTGAGCCGCACGCTGCTTTCTGTTTTTAGAGAACTATGACGACTTGTATCATTGGTCGGTGGCATCCTACTCAGACTTCTGGGCTGAATTCTGGAGGTTCAGTGGGATCGTCTTCTCGCACGAGTACGATGAGGTGAGCAAGGGTTGCAAGTAAGTGCAGCGTGAGTCTTGGGGAGCACTGAACCCCATCTTCCTACTGGGGAATTCCCTCATCCCGGAGGCCTGACCTGAGCTTGGCATAGCTTAACCCCCAACTGCGGTGGCCAAGCTGGTCTGAGCCCTCGGGTGGGTGTTGGGGTTCCCTGTCCTTTTGTTAATTACAAATTTTAACTGGTAAAAGTCGGTTATTTAAAATCCACATCTCTTAAAAGTGTGCAATCCACAGGTGTTAAGTATACATGCATTGTAGTTATTTAAACTCTCAGTAGTTTGCTGTTTTTCCAACTGGAGTTTTAGAACATTCTTCAACTCCTTGCCCTCCAAATCAGTAAACATCTGGAGAAAGTGAGACCTGTTATGCCGAGCATAATTTTTTTTGGTTCCAGGAATGGAACACAGGTCCTCAAGCTTGCCAGGCAGGCGCTGTGCTGCTGAACTTCAGCCTTGGCCCTCCAAGTGTCATTTACTCTATGTTTTGGGGCAAACCATTTTGGAAGGTCGATGTGTTGGCCGTTTAGAAGCAGACCAAGCCTAGCATGGTGGTGCACTCCTGTAATCCCAGCACTTAGGAGGCTGAGGCAGGAGGATTTCCACAAGTTCAAGGCCAGCTTGGACTGCATAGCAAGACCTTGTCTCAAAAAAATTCAAAAAATGCTGGGGATTCAGCTCAGTGGCCCCATACCTGCTATATAAGTACAAGATCCTGAGTTCAATCTCTGATACCCCCCCAAATCCCCAAAACAAGAAACAAACAAAAGCAAACCAAGATCACAGCCTTCTGAGGAAGAATGAAAACGGTTATAGCGACTTCCAGAAAATTGCAGTGGGAGGGCAGGAGCTGGAGCTTTCTGGGCAGAACCTGGCACATGGCAGAATCTTTTTTTTTTTTTTTGTCTAATTTTGGGTACTAGGATTGAACTTGCAACCTCGAACCTGCAAGGCAGGCGGCGGAACCACAGAGCTAAATCCTGGTCCAGCATCTTGTTAAGCAGCTGGTAAAAGGGCAGGGTCCCAGTTGATTTCTGCATTCAGAGTTGGCCCTGGAGGCGGCTCCTCGTTCCGGAGGTGTGGCTTCCTCTTCACTCAGGCGCCCTGGCTGGGGCGCTGTCCTCCCTGCAGGTGGTGGACACTTCGAAAGGCATCTCGGATGTCCCCGAGTGGTTCAGAGGCAGCCGGCTGAACTACGCCGAGAACCTGCTGCGGCACAAGGAGAACGACAAAGTGGCCCTGTATGTTGCAAGTGAGTCCAGTGAGGACTCGAGTTCCTCGAAAGGCAGCGTCCCTGTAGTGTCCTGACAGGGAAGGGCGGGGCCGGATATGTGGCCCTTGTGGGAAAAAAGGGGACGCCTGATGCCGAGTGGCCAGCTCGGGACACTGGGAAATCAGTGATGGGATGTGGCTGGGATCCCTGCTCCCCACTGAGGTACTGGGGAGCCGGTGCAGGCCATCGTACTGAGCTGCATCCCCACCCCTTTTTAATTTTAATTTTCAGACAGCCTTGATAAGTCACTAAGTTCAGGCTTGGCCTGAACTTGCGGTCCTCCTGCCTCAGCCTCCTAGAGTGCTGAGATTATAGATAGGCACCACCACACGTGGGTGGCTTCTTTTAAAGTTAAAAAAATATTCCAATTTATGTATGTATTAAAGTAGCCTCTGCAAGCATTGGTATGAAGGAATTTTTTTTTTTTTTTTTTTTTTTTAAAGAGGTCTTGCTGTGTATTCCGGGCTGGCCTTGAACTCACTTTGCAGCCAAGGCTGGCCTCGATCTTTGGCGATCCTCCTGCCTCAGCCTCCTGAGTGCTGGAATTACACTCCTGTGCCACCCCACCCTGGCTGGAGCGCCTTCAGATAATGAGCTGTCCCCTTCGTCATGTTTGCTCTCAAGTCCAGGATCACATCTGGTTTACAGAGCAGATCTTATTTCTCCTTTTCTGTGATGAGGGTGGAAACTTGGGCTGTGCACCGGCTCAGCCTGGGCACTGTACCACTGTGCTACACTCCCAGCCCCAATTCCTACATCTTCTGTGCACTTGTGAGTGTGTTTGTGAGTGTAGTACTGGGGATGGAACCCAGGGCCTTGCAAATGCTAAGCAGAGGCCGCTTGCTGATTTGCACCCTGACCTGACTTAGTCATTTTTTCTGTTGCTGGGATGAAAGACCCTGTACTACAACGTGCAGGAGGGGAGGAGTATTAGCTCACAGTTTGCAGAGATTTTGGTCCAAGGCAGTTGCATTGCAGGGGGAAGCAGTCCATGGCAGGGTGGACAGGAAGCAGCCAGCTCAAGGGGGGGGGTGACAGACCTTTCCGGCCACACCCCCAGGACTCCCCTCCCACCAGGCTCCACCTCCCAGCATCCCAACCCACTTGAACCCATCTCAGGACTAATTTTCCAAAGAGTTCCAGGGCCCCATGAACCAGTCACCCCCAAAGCTCCACCTATGAGTCTAGAGCATATGAGGCTTTGGGGGACCTCCAGATGTAAACTGTTGGAGCCCCAAATTAGACATCTCACATAAGGGTCCTGAACTGGGGCCACACAGCCCATCCCAGAGTCTGTGCACTGCCCAGCCCGCCTCCCCAAACACACGTGTGCACTAGGCTTTGCCTGCAGCTGCCTCAGTGTCTGTGCGGTGAACGGTTGCCTGCACGGTGTGCTCGTCCTTGAAGAATAGACCTCAGGTGCCCCGTGCTGTGACAGGAGAGGTGAGGAGCACAGGGTGGGCACACGCCCAGCAGGAGCCCACAGGAGAGGCCAGGTTTGTGCCATAGGGAAATCAGACTGGGTATTCGTTTGGAAAGGAGGTGACAGATGGAGATTGAGAATAAAACACGTCAAGGGGGCGCCGAGCTTGGTGCATGCCTAGAATCGCAGGAGGATGGCTGTAAGTTCGAGGCCAGCCTAGGCCAGTCTTAAACAAAATCAAAAACAAAAAAAAGGTCAGAGGCTAATATCTTTTTTTCTAGAAAATTGATCCGTGCCTTCAAATAGTCATGTAACAAATTACCTAGAAGCCGTGGTCTAAAGCTGTTGCCCTTCACCTCTGCGTTTCTGTGGGTGGCAGACGCGCTGGCCCGGCCCCTGGGGAGGTGCAGCCGACTGGGCTGGGCGCAAGCAGGGGCCCCTCAGCTGTAGGGGGACTCATGACCCCACGCCACCCGGGAGCTGCAGGGCCCCTTCGTTCCACTCCAGCCCACTGCTCACCCAGGCCTGGCTTCTTCCATGTGGGAGTGACCCCGAGAGCAGGGCCTGGGCAGGGTTCTTGGGGACTCGGGGATGCCGCCTACCCCGTCGTCCTTTCCTGTTCTTAGCAGTGTGCTAGGTGGAAAGGGGAGCCTCATGGCCTTTTTTTTGAGACAGGGTCTCACTTTGTTGTTCACATTGGCCCTGAACTCTCTAACCCAGGCTGGCTTGAAACTTGTGGTGATCTTCCTGCCTCAGCCTCCTGAGTGCTGGGATTATAGGCGGGCACCATCACGCTGGCTGTCATCACCTTGGGGCGAGGGAGCGAATGGGCGATGTTCCTTGTGGGGACAGCATGGGGGCATGGCTGCAGAAGGGGGCCCCAGGGTGGTGGACGGAATGTCCCCCTGGAGAACATGCCAGGCTGGCAGAGCCCGGCCCCCTCAGTGCCCCTGTGGGTTCCTGGCACCGTGTGTCATTTGGTTTCCCACCGCTCCGCAGGGCTTTTCTGGGCACAGACTGATGACTGCGGTGACAGGCGAGATTGCTGGTTCTGAGTCTACCATGTGACGCTGTGTCTCATACTAGATTTGTCCCTTTCCTTTTCCCAGGGGAGGGCAAAGAGGAGATCACAAAGGTGACTTTTGAAGAGTTGCGGCAGCAGGTGGCTTTGTTCGCTGCTGCCATGCGGAAGATGGGTGTGCAGAAGGGAGACCGTGTGGTCGGTGAGCGTCCCCAGGGCTTGTGCTGGCTTGGGGAGGAGATGGGTGGAGTGGCGGGAAGGTGGAGCCGTGTCGCAGCCATGTCCTCGTGTCCTCGTGTCCTCCTCGGGCTTCAGGTGTTCCTTCAAGGAAGAAGCATCCCCAGGGAGCATGGTAGACACAGGCCCTGGTTCCCTGCTCTGTGCTGCAGCAGGCACAGCCTGTGCAAAGGCCTGGGGGCTGGTAAGAGTGAGGGTTCCTAGGGCAGCAGTTTGGGTCCAAGGCCTTGCCTGCCTTCCCCCACCCTGCCCCGTGTCTGGACTCCTGTCCCTTCTCACTGCTCGTCCCCCTCATACGTGACGCTGCAGGGGGAGGGGGCAGAGAGCCCAGGAAGGTCGCAGCCTGTACGCCCTGAACAGAAATTTCCCTCCCCGAGCTGGCTGCCCTTCCTTTGCCACCACTGGTGACAGTCATAATCCCCAGCCCAGAGCAACATGGGGTCTTTCTTAGTTTTTAAATTCTTTTAGGGTTTTGTTTTTTTTTTCTTTCTTTGAGACAGGGTCTCACTATGTTGGTCAGGCTGGCTTTGAACTCATGGTGTAGTCTAGACTGACCTCAAACTCATGGTGATCCTCCTGCCTCAGCCTCCTGAGTGCTGGCGGATTACAGGCATGAGCCACCACCTGTCTGTCTCGCCCGGCCTCTGGGGAGATGTGCATGGGGCTGTCTTGGCCTGCAGCCCAAGGTGGGCAGAGGTGCAGGTCTGCTGCCTCAGTTTACCTGAACTCATGGCCTTTTCCTGGTGCCCTGACAGGTTATCTGCCCAACAGCGTGCATGCTGTGGAGGCCATGCTGGCGGCGGCGAGCATCGGCGCCATCTGGAGCTCCACGTCCCCAGACTTCGGTGTGAACGTGAGTTGGCGCCGCGGTGCCTGCTGGGGCGGCTGTGGGTCTCCAGGTTGGTCACTGGTGCCCAGGGCGCCCCCTTGCGTCTTGGTGCTGGGGATCTGCTAGGCACACTGGAGTCCTGGGTGGAGACTTGGAGGGGTCGTGGCTTGAGCTTCCCTGGGCTTCGTGGTGCCAGACCCAGTGGGGCGGTTGCTGTCATCTCCTCTGAGATTTGGATGCTTGTCCTGCACGCCTGCTGCTGACACCTCAGGCCTCCTTGTGGGGTCCCAACCTGCTCACCCCCTTGGCCCTGTGCTCCTGCTGCGTGGCGCGAGTCCTGGGTGCCCTCAGTGCCCCCTCCCGCCCCAGGGACCTGGATGTGGGGTGCATCCGGCTGCCCCGCTGTGTGCCCGGCTTGACCCCCAACTCGGGCCCCTGTCCCTGGCACCCACAGGACCCTCACCCTCTGCCGGGCCCACAGTTTCTGATCCTGGCCCCGCTGTGCCTGGCTCAGTACAGCACCGCAGCTGCGCCGGCCATGTCCCCGGTGTGTCCATGCTCCCTGGCTTCCTCGTCTGGGACGGGGACAGTGGTCGGGGGACAGGTGGGGGTGTTTGTGCCCTCGGAGCCATGACTGCGCCCAACGGCCTAGGTGGCTCCAGATGCAGCTGGCAGCCTGGCTGCCCCACGGCTCTGGGCGAATGCAGAGGCCATCTGCTTGGAGGCTGGCTCTTGGGTAAAGCGTTTTTCCCTTTTCCTTTTCCGTTTTGTGGTCCTGGGGATCGAACCAGCACTTTTGCAGTGAGCTACGTTCTCAGCCCTTTTTTCATTTTTTTATGTTGAGACAGGTCTCATTAGGTTGCTAAATAGCCCGCTCTGGGCTTAAACTTGGCATTGTTCTGCCTCGGACCACAGGAATTGGCCAGTGGCCTGGCGGAGTGAAGGGCTGCCCAGGACTCACCCTGAGGGGTCTGCGGCCAGCAGGCTGGGCAGGCCGTGCTCCCCATGGGTGGCTCTGTGGGGTTGGTGGTGTCCGTGGGAGGGTCCAGCATGGCAGGCACTGCGCGCTCTCTGGAGTCACGGGGGCAAAGGGCGGCTGGGCCTGAGGGCTGCCTGAGGGGGTCTGTGGTGGTGGCTGGGTCTGCTGGGGGCTGGGGCTTTGTCCCCGCTCAGCCACAGGAGCCACAGCCACTGTTGGCTTTGTTTTAGTGCTTTTTCTCCTCTGAGAATTGGGAGCTGCATGTGTGTGGGGACCAACCGCGGACCCTGGCAGCACCGGTCCCAACTGGAGGCCTGGCTGAGAGCCCCTTGGGCTCAGGGCGCCGTGGTGGAGATGCAGGGCTGGAAAGGCGAGCCTCTGTCAGCAGCCACCTCCCGCCTGCTGGGCCATTGCCCCATGCAGTGTCACCGCCTGAAGCCTCTGGGACTCTGGTCTGCAGGTTCTGCCTGTCTCAGGAGGACCCAGGCCCAGAGCACCCATGGCCAATGCCTGCTTGGGGGCCTTTCTTGTCTGGTGCTGCGTGGTCTGGGGTCCTGGAGTCACAGCTGCCTGGAGTAGCCTGGCACAGGAGCATGGCCCACTGCAGCATGGGTGCCAGGGGACAGCAGGTGCTGTGCTTGTCCTGGGCTCTGGTTCTGGGAAGAGCACTTTCCAGGATGCCCAGCTGTGCAAGGAGGCCGGGACAGATCATCCCCCAGGTGTCCACCATTGGCTGTCACACCCTGCCTGCCCCGCTGTCCTCCATCAGGGCTGAAACCGACTGGGACTTTCTGGAGGTGCGGACAAGGGGGCTGGGACTGAGCAGGGTGGGGGCTGCTCACTCCTGTCTACACCGCTTATGAATCTGCCCAGAGAGAGAGAGAGAGGGAGAGAGAAGGAGAGACCAAAGCGCCTCTGCGTCCAGTGCCGCTGTCCGCACTGCAGTGTGCGCCCCTCCCATCTGCAGTGGACCTGTGTGTCTCCCACGCTCGTGTCACTGATGAGTCCCATCATAAAGGGACAGCTGTGTGCACCTGCAACCCTGCTGTGTGGGGAGACACCTAAGGGATGCTGGGGCCGGGCGGGTGTACACACAGTGGGCCACCTTCTCAGGTGCTGTGACGGCCGCAGAGGGCTGGGGACGTGGGTCCTCGCAAGGTGAGGGTGCTTCCCGGATAGGCACTGGCTGTGTGCCTCTGGCCTGCCTCTCCTCCCACGTGGCCCCGTGTGTCCTGCGTCTTGTGTGTGTCCCCATGTGTCTGGGTGGGTCACTGTGCTTCTGTGAGACTGTCAGCTCCTGGGGTTTCTGTCGGCCCTGCATCCCGGGAGGTGGGCGCATTTTCAGGGTGTGGGGAGCCCCTCCTCACCCAGTCCACCCTGCAGTCCTGTTTCTTCTGCAGCCTCCCAGGGCATGGTGTGCCTGCTGGGCAGTGGACACAGGATCCGCCCTGGCTGGCACAGCTGGGCTCAGCTCTCATCTGGTTGGCGGGCACCGAGGGGGGCAGACCCAGTCACAGGTCCTGCTGTCACCAGAAGACGCTGCAGCCGGGGAAGCTGCCGCTGTGCCCTGGGGCCCGGGCTGCCCCGATATTGCAGCTGTCCCTCGCAGTCACGCTCATAGTCACTGTGGTGTCCAAGCTGGAAATCCCCACTGCCTCTGCGGTGTCCCTGTCTGGCCCCTTCTGCCCCTGCTGGCCCAGGCTTTGTAGCAGGCCTGTCCCTTCCCATGCTGGCCTCCCTCCTGCCTGCCCCTGTCCTGACGCCAGTGCAGGGCCTTGGGTCCACGGTGCCCCGGGTTCTCCTGCTGCGCTGCTGTCTCAGTCCTGTTCCCTCACTGTGGCTGCAGGTCCTCCCAAATCAGCCTGGGCCGGACACAGTACCCGGTAGCATGGGGCCGTGGTAGCGGCCACTGTGTCCAGCTTCTTGCTGGGTCCTGCCAGGCTCCCCTTCCTGCCCTTCCTTCCTTCCTTCCCTTTGTGGTACTGGGGATTGAACCCGTGGCTTTGGCAAGAGCTGCACCCCAGCCCTTGGTGGTTAAAGGAAGCACTGTCATTCCTGTCCATCACACTTGCTGAGAAGTTTTTTTATTTTTTTATTTTTATATTTTTTTGGAACCGGGGATTGAACTCGGGTCCTTGTGCGTGCAAGGCAGGCCACTGAACCGCTGAGCTAAATCCCCGGCCCTGAGAAGTTTATTTTATTGACCTGTATGGAAAAACTCTTGGTTTCACCGATGAGGTCTGTCATTTGTTTTTCCTATGGCTTTAGTTCCTTCCTGTTTTTTCTCTCTTCCCTGGCTGAGTTGTGAATGTTTCTGTCGTTTGCTTATGTACTTATTCTTTTTGGCTTATTTGTTTGTTTTTGGTACTGGGGGATCAAACTCGGGTCCTTCCACTTGTGAGGCAGGCGGCGGTACCACTGAGCTAAATCCCCGACCCTCCTTTTGGTTTTTTGAGGCAGGGTCTCACTACAGAGACCTCTGTTGCCCTTGATGTCAAGCCTCCGAGGCCCTTGTCTGGTGGGGACAGCAGAGTGAGGTGGCTGGGGCTGGGGCTGCACGGTGAGGTTTGCACTGTGGCCCTGGGGACTGGCTCTCAGGGAGCATGAGGGGTGCTGTGAGGCTGCCCTGTGGTCAAGGCCGCACTGGACACAAGTCCTGGCCCCCCAGGGAGGTCGTTCTCAGGAGGGATGCAGCTGGTGTGGGGCAGATGGGTCGGGGCAGGAACCATGTGCATGTGTGTGTGAGTGATCAGCAGTCCACATCGGAGCCGGGTTCCTCTTTAACTGAGGACCAGGGGCCGGAATCCGGCCGTGCCAAGTTTGTAGTTGCCGCTGGAGGCGAAGCTTGGGTCTGTGCGGGTGGGTGAAGGGCTCCCTGTGGTGGGCTCTCCTGGCAGCCCAGCCCAGCCGCGGGGTGCGGGTGGTGTCTCCGCCAGCCTCCGTGCCGCTGAGGGCAGGCTGGGCAGTGGTGTGGTTCCCCCGACAGCTGCACACCCAGGGCGGGCCGCGCTGGGCTTTCTGGTGACCAGTGTGGCCCCTCCTGCCAGGGCGTCCTGGACCGCTTCTCGCAAATCCACCCCAAGCTCATCTTCTCGGTGGAGGCCGTCATCTACAACGGCAAGGAGCACAGCCACATGGAGAAGCTGCAGCAGGTGGTGAAAGGTGCGTGTGCATGTGCGTGTGCACCGACGTGTGCAGACGACAGCCGCTGAAGAAGCCCAGGCCGTGTTATGGTTACATCTTTGGGAAGAGGCCTGCCCGAGTCTGCCCATGACCTTGTGTTCTGTCCTCTTTGCAGGACTCCCAGACCTGAGGAAGGTGGTGGTGATCCCCTATGTCAGTTCCAGGGAGAAGATCGACCTTTCCAGGATTCCCAGCAGGTGACGGTGACAGTGACACACCACCACATTCCACCCTCAGGCCGGGGACCTGTGCGCCATCTGGATGGGAAGCAACCCCGAGCAGATCCTTCCCTGTGAACCCGAGCATGGCATTGTAGAAGGGGAGGATGGTTTTGCTAAAACTCTCTTTTTTGTTTTTTTTGTGACAGGGTCTCACTGTAGTCCAGGCTGGGCTTGAACTCACTACGCAGCTAGGCTGGCCTCAAATTCTGGTGATCCTCCTGCCTCAGCCTCCCGAGTGCTGGGATTGTAGGCATGCACCCTCACCTGGCACTACTCACTGTTCCCTTTCAGATAAGGGTCTCGGCCAGCTGCAGCTTTGATGCCTGTGGGGTCCCAGAACTGCCCCCAGGACCTGAGGGAGCTCATGTGCACGCTCTCGCCCTCAGAACCCGCGGGTGATCCCCGTTGCTGACGGCCCTTGCTTGCTCTCTGACATCTATACACAGCAAGCTCTCATCTGGAGTCCTCAGCGGAAGTGGGAGGCTCTGGGTTTTAAGCAGAGAGGAAGGGAGTGGGCATGTTTAGTCCTGGGTCAATCTGTCCTAGGCCTCAGCTCTTCTCTGCCCTCTGGATGGCCCTGGGCAACGGGAGAGTGGCAGAGGCCTTGTGCTACCCAGCACCGGGGGTGTAGGCTCATGTCCTGTCCCCTGTTGGGGCCCATCTGAACCTCCGTCTTGGGCTGGGTGAGCCAGACAGGCATCCAGCCCCTCTGAGCCGTGGTTTCTCTGTCCACACAGTGGAGGCTGCTGCAGGGTTACACAGGGGACGCGAGCATGCGGGGTGGCTCTCAGGAGCCCTGGCAGCCAGAGTGTGGAGCCAGGGGCCGTGCCCCATCTCGCCTCTTGAACCTCAGTGGCTCCCGGTGTCACTGACGGAGACATCTCACGGGGTGAGGAGGGCAGCCGGCTGGGCTTTGCTGGTGCTGTGATGGTCGGCTTAGAGTGGAAAAGTACCCATCGTGACTGACGGGAAACAGTGCCAGGCAGCCGCTGCCTCTAGCTCTGCCTGAATCCCCAGCCCAGCTGCCTGTCGCTGCCCTCTTTAGATCTCTGATGCCAGGAAGGAACTGGGTCCTGTCTGCCCGTCCCAGAGGGCAGAGGGAAAACTCCCCCACCCCCTGGGACATTCTGACTTTAGAAGGGCAATAAAAGACCGCATTTTGGACTGACTTATGGGCCATTTGGAGGAAAAGCTTTCCCCAGGGTGCAGCATCCGGTGAGGGTGGGCATTCACGTGTGAGGAAGGGACGAAGGGCTTGGCTGGGAGGAGCCTTGTATGGTTTCCTGATGCTCGGGAGCAGGTGGTGTGTGTTTACAGCTTGGGGTTGAAATATTTTCTGTGCCCTTTTAAACCTCTGCATCCCCCTGCAGACCTCCTGGCCTCTCAGGATGCCTCCCTTGTTTACCAGCGCCTTTGTGCTATGTGTGGGCATGACTGTCCCAGTGCAGGGGACTCCCATCCCCTTCCCCGGAGGAGGAGACCTGGTGTGGGAAAGAGGGCAGGGCCCAGCTCTGGGATAGATGCTTCTGCTGATCTCAAAATAGAAGGGCCACCTTCCCAAGGAGGCTTTGTGGCCTCAGCCCAGGACTCTCTTTTGGTGGCTCTTAGCTACCCACTCGTGGTGCTTTCTGTTGTCTGGTATTGGGCAGGAGCTGGCAGACTTCTTAGGTCAGAGTTGGTGCTGCAGCTTCACCTTACTTATGTCAGGATGGATATCTGTGAGGGTTTTTGTTTTGTTTTGAGACAGGGTTTCTCTGTGTGTTTGAGGCTGGCCTTGAGCTCTGTGTAGACCAGGCTGGCCTCAAACTCTCTTGTGACTGATTCTTCTGCCTCAGCCTCCCAGTGGATTACAGGCATGTGCCACCTGCTGGGCTTTTAATGATGCTCATGTCTCATTACTGTCAGCTTTAGGTATGGTAAACAAGCCTGCAACAGGTCTGCCGTTAGTGCCTGGTGGCCGCCTGCCTGTGTGCGGGAAGGGCTTATTAGTCAGGCCTTCTCTGCTCCCTGCTCCCTGCCCTGGCTCCTCTTCCCTCAGGCAGTCATTGGGGGCTGAGTGCTGTACTCAGGTGATTACAGCAAGTTTGCACACAAACTGTGCCTGTGTTAAGTAGGCGCTCCCTGGTGTTTATGAAAGCAGCAAAGGGTCTCTAAAGAGACAGCCGACAGCCCTGTCTGCCCGCTAAGAAACCAACTTGAAGATAGGTGTGGTAGGGGCCTGCCTGCAGACCCAGCCCTCGGGAAGCTGAGGCAGGAGGATGGCCAGAATTGAAGACCAGCCTGAACTGTATAGCCAGACCCCGTCTCAAAACAAATGAACAAGCCAACTTGAAACCTTCTGTTACTCTATTGCTTTCCCTTCCCTTAGGTAGAATTCATAAGATTTGACTTATTCCTTCCCTAAAGCAGTGGGATGTTTGTATCACTGAAAGCTCTAGAAGTTTCGAGGTCTCTGCCTCAGAGCTTCCAAACCAGACCTAAACCCCCAGAGAGCGGGCTCTTCCTGTGGCCCAGTGGAGGGCACGGAGGTCCGCACCCCACCCTCACCGGTCCCGTGTCTCTGCCCTCAGCGTGTTCCTGGACGACTTCCTGGCCAGCGGCACCGGTGAGCTCGCCCCGCAGCTGGAGTTCGAGCAGCTGCCCTTCAGCCACCCGCTGTTCATCATGTTCTCCTCGGGAACCACAGGGGCACCCAAGTGCATGGTGCACTCTGCTGGGGTAGGTCTGTCTGTCCCGTCCGGCGTCTGACCTGTCTCTTCCAGCTGTCCAGGGCGGCACCACCGGCCTCTGCCGGGACCCTGCGTGCTGCACTCTGAGTGGCTGCGGCTGGGAGGCGGGGCTCCTGTTGCCGTGGTGACAGCCTAGTGGTTGCATACGGGGGTATGGGCGCCGGGTCCGAACAAGTGTGTTCGCAGGTGTGTGCGGGCCGGGCGTGGTCAGGCCTTGCAAGCCCGGTCATCGCACGCAAGCCTGGCTAGGCGGACCCGTCTTCTGAGTTCTGGAGGCTGAAGGCCAAGATCTGGGCTTGGCAGGTGACACCTCCTCCTGCCCTCCGGCTCCTCCCCGGACCAGGCTGAGGCTGCAGGCGGAGGCTGTGACTGGGCGCTACGAACTGGGAGTTCAGAGATGAAGGCTTCCTCCGTTCACAGTTCCGAGGGTGGAGGTCCAAGCGGAGGGCCCCTTGCTGCTGGGGACCCTCCACAGAGCCCCAGAATGGCCAGAGCACACTTGCCTACTCCAGTGCCACCATGTGACCCCGACTAGTCCCGAGATCCTAGCAAAGCCCCCCCCAACCTCCGTACCCTGTCGACTGTGACTGAGGAGTCAGCTTCCCCAGGAGTCTTGGGGGTGACTTGCAGCAGACTTGGGCACCCTTAGTGTTGCTGTGTTCACCCACATTTCTTCTAGGGTTGCCTCAAGTAGCCGGGTGGGGTGGTGCATGCCTGTGATTCCACCACTTGGGAAGCTGAAGCAGGAGGATCGCTTTGCATTTGAGGCCAGCCTGGGCTACAGAGCGAGACCCTGTCTCAAAACAAACCAAACCAAACGAACAGTCTTATATCGAGTCAATGCCTGCTTGGTGTCCACCTTTATAAAGGCTTTGTATCACGTCTTGAGATTCAGGGGACTTGGGCTTCCACATTTCAGTTTCAGGGGACACAGTGTAGCCTACAACATGGTTCGTTTCATCTGAAGTCCAACTTTATTAAAGTCCCTGGAATAGCGGGTCACTTCAGATTGGTAGATTTTGTATACACAGATCAGTGACCCCTGCCATTTTGTTCTTTTGAGAATAAAATACCTGTAGGCCCTGTAGAAAACCTGGAAGAACAGGATGAGGACCACAGCCCCTTCGTGGACCTGCCCAAAGTTATCATTCTCTCTGGTTAGCATTCTCTCAAACTTGGGTCCTTGCACCTGTGAGGCAGGTGGCCTCACAGCTGAGCAAAATCCATGGCCCTCTTTGATTTACTTTTAAATTTTTCTGTTTTTTGAGACAGGGTCACACTATGTAGTAGTTCAGGCTGGCCTCAAACTGTTTTAATGGCCCCTGGAACAGTTCCAACCACATTGCCTGGGCCCTGCTCCCTCAGTATCTCCCACCTGAGTAGCCCCTCAGCCTCCCCACCCCCATGACCTTGGAGTGACCTTGGGCTCCCAGGCTCTGTGCCATGTGTCCTTGTGTTCAGGTGTGGACCTGTGAGTCCTTCTCCATAGTCACTTCGGAGGACACAGTCACCGTTGGCTGGGTCACACCGAGGGAGGATGTCCTGGCGGTCACCACCGATGTCCTCCAACCCTACCTCCGCTGGCCCAGTGAACACAGAGCTTCCTGCTGACCAGACTCAGGGACCTGTGGGCCGGGGAGTGGCAGACGGGGCAGCAGATGGGGTGGGGTTGTCTGTGCTGGACAGGCAGTCAGAGGGAAAGGGAAACGGGACCTGTGCTGCTGTTGCAGGGGTTCTGCCTGGTGACTTGCTGTAGAGGAGAGGAGCGTGAGACGTGTCAGGCATGGTACAGTTTGTTCATGACTTGTCTGCCCAAGTGGTTAGGCTGTGGGGGATGAGGAAGAGTTACATTGATTCTGTCTTCTCTTGGGTCTCCAAGAAAGGGACAGCATCTTGTCCAGTTTAGAGAAGAACGCGCTGAACCCAGGCGGGCTACTCCATGTGCCTGGTGCCTGGGATGAGGGGGGCCTGGCTTGGTAGCCTAGGTTTTCTTTTCTTTTCTTTTGAGACAAATTTCGCTATGTAGTCCAGGCTGTCCTTGAACTCACGGCGATCCTCCTGCATCAGCCTCCCAGGTGCTGGGGTTACAGGTGTGTGACCCTGAGCCCAGCCAGACACCAATATTTAAACATGAAGGGAACCACTGCTGATGTTAGGATCCACATCAGAGCCTCCTGGGAGGATGGCAGGCCTCTGCTGTGTGCCCCCAAGATGAAGATAAGGGCCTGGGAGTGGTGGGGTCACAGGTGCGTCCCACTTAGCGGACCATGCTGTTGTTCGTGAGGACGAGGCGGGAGGGTCGTCCAGGTCTTCACAGTTGCAGTCCTTGGTCTGTGGCACCCATTGATTCATTCTGTGAAGATTAATTATGGGGGCTCTTGAAAAGTCTGTTCCCACACTGTCACCCCACTACGTGGAGCATGTGAGCCTCGGGGACTGCGCAGTGGGGTCCCCTGAAATTGCACCTGTGGCCCAAGCGCTGGGACCAGGAGGTGGCCACCCACACACCGTGTCATCCTGGCCCTGCATTGGCTCTGCCTGAGCCTCCCTGGGTTGCCGAGGCTGGTTTCACTGTGAGGTCCTGGCCGCAGCCCCACCGCTCCCTGCGACCCAGGCCTTTGCCAGGGGTGGGAAGGCAGCCCTAGCCAGCTCCACCGCCCTGGCACCGAAGGGCATTGTCGTGGTTTATCCTAGGGCCCCATGGAGGAGATGTTGTAAGAGTGAGAGTGTGTGGTCTGTGGCAGCTCAGTCTCCTCCTAGTGACTTTCTTGGCGCTATCCTGGGTGCCTTGGTGCCTGAATCGATTCATAGTGTTTCCCTTTATGGTTGTTTTGATTTTGGGAAGAGCCGGAAGTCGCATGGTGCTAGAGGTGGTGAACAAGGTGGATGTCGGGGACCCTGTCATGTTTTCCTGAGTGGTCTGTTCTAAGCAGCAGCAGGCAGCACTGGTAAAGACACCCAGGAAAGTGGGCTTCCAGAGCTGCTTCAGAAAGTGGCAAGAGCAGGCTGACGTGGGCACACCTGTAATCTCAGCACTCGGCAGGCTGAGGCAGGAGGATCGCCACAAGTTGGAGGCCAGACTGGGCTACATAGTGAGTTCAAGGCCAGCCTGAACTACACAACAAGATCCTGTCAGGAAAAGAAAGTCAAGAACAATGGCATAAGAGTGTTTGGGGGGGTTTGAGGGGGATTCATGGCAATGTCTTATCACATTTTTAAAAATTTAAACATTTATTGGTATTTCCATCACACTCCACACAATACGTGTTACACACTCTGGCTGCCTTGAGAGCAGAGAGGAGGGCTGTTCTTAGCATACTTGCCAAGGTTTGACCCCGGGATTATATTATCTGTTAAACACTGATGTTAAAAAGCAGTAGAGGGCTAGGGATGTAGCTCAGTGGTGCCGCCATCTGCCTTGCAAGTGCATAGAGCTAGGTGTAGTGGCGCAGGCCTGTACTCCCACACTCGGGAGGCTGAGGCAGGAGGAGCCTTGTGAGTTCAAGGCCACTCTGGGCTTCATAGTGAGTTCAGGATCACCCTGAACTACAATGCTTCTGCCTAAGGTTCTTGGTCCATGGGCGGGTGGGTGTCAGGGCAGTGACCTGTGCCCACCGTGGGCCATGCTGGGTAGCTGCTCACCCATGCCCGCTCCCCCCCGCAGGGCACCCTCATCCAGCACCTGAAGGAGCACATGCTGCATGGGAACATGACCTGCAGTGACGTCGTGCTCTACTACACCACGGTAAGGCTGTCGCTGGGCCTGCGCGGTAGGGCGGCTCCTGTGTGGGGTGCAGCCATTAACCAGGCCCCGAGCGCAGGTGCTGGGGACGAGGGGAGCAGCTAGCAGGGCACAGTGGCGTGTCTTATTGCTGTGTAACCCAGGCTGGGCTGAATCTGGTAGTGATCCTCCTGCCTCAGCCTCCTAGTGCCTGGGTCACAGCTGTGCGCCCCCACACCCAGCCCCAAGCACGAAGATAAGGGCAGTTCTGGTTGGTCCTGCTCTGTCTCCTGGGTTCAGCTCTGTGCCGGAGCAGGTTCCTGCCCCGAGAGCTCAGGACCTGGGTCCCTCCTTGGCCTCGCGAACCTTGATCCCATACAGGCACGAGGGGACCTGGCTGCCTGCGGAGTGACTGGGCTGTGAATGAAGGGCAAGGCCCACATGGCTCGGGCTGTCCCACTCCATGGATTTGTCCTTGGAGCTGGGTCTCGTCACCCTGGTCCCTTCCCAGGCCCTTGGGCGGGATGGGGTCCCAGCGCCGACAGGAAGTGCTTGGGTGTCACCCCCAGTGGCTGCTGAGGCCTCAGCGACAGCAACACAGCCTTGAGGAGAGGGCGATGTGCGGAGAGGAGCTCACCTGCCCTGGTGTCTGCCTGCAGGCCGGTCGAGGGCTGCCCACAGAGCCGGCCGACACCCCACGGTGGCAGCAGCCTGGGGTGGAGGGTGCAGGGTCCCAGCCTCATTGCCCAGCGCTAGTGGCTTCACTGGCCTGTGAGGACCCAGCAGGGCTGTGGGCCGGGCCTCCCACCGCTGGGGTCCTCCCTGTTCCTGGGCGGCTGATAGACCTGGCAGAGCTGCTTGGCACAGGGTAGGGCCAGGTTGCAGTAGCCGGTGTGTGGCTGCTCCCATTGTGGGGGTCTCAGTCCCCTCCGCCTCCTGTCACAGCACAGCCACCCCAGAGCTCCATGCTGTCTCTGCCCGTGAGAGTCTCCGTGTCCGTCGTTGGGTGGGCCGCGGCAGCTCCAGCCGCCTTCTGCCGAGGTTTTTCTGGAGACCCTGCCCTGCGCCCATGGAGCGGCCCCTTGCTCCCCGCAGGTCGGCTGGATGATGTGGAACTGGATGGTGTCGGCACTGGCCACTGGTGCGTCCCTGGTCTTGTATGACGGCTCCCCACTGGTGCCGACACCCAGCGTGCTGTGGGACCTGGTAGACCGGATTGGGTAAGTACAGGCGCCCTGCTCCACCCGGTGCTGCGGCACTCGTGCCCTGGGTGTGGGTCCTGCAGGGCTGAAGGGTTCTGGTTCCTTCCCGTCCTCCTGCAGCATTACCGTCCTTGGGACCAGTGCCAAGTGGCTGTCCATCCTCCAAGAGAAGGACCTCAAGCCAGGTGAGTTTGTCACTGTCCTCGTCCCCGCACTGAAGCGAAGTCCCAGAGTGGAGCCCAGTGGGTGCCTGCCTGGTCCCTGGTGTGCTGCCTGGGCTGGGCCCTGACTTCTTCCTGGTCCTCGCTTGTCCCTGAAGCGGAGACCCACAACCTACAGACACTGCACACGATCCTGGCCACCGGCTCCCTGCTGAAAGCCCAGAGCTATGAGTATGTGTACAGTTGTGTCAAGAGCAGCGTGCTGCTGGGCTCCATCTCAGGTAGGCCAGCCCCGCCAGCCACCCACAAAGCCCCTGCCAGAACCAGTCCCCTGTTCTGTCACCCTGGCCAGCAAATGCCGCCCCCTGGTGGTGCTCTGGGGAAATTCCGGCAACTTGTGCATCACAGTGCTGCACCCAAAGCAGCTCTGTGGGGTGTCTGTTTTTCAAGCAAAATATGAAGCAGAGGGGTGGGGTGACTTTCCCGGGCCACTGCACCAGCAGCCACCCAGTGCTGTGCCAGGCCGGAGCGTCTGTGCTGCTCTCCGCTGTGCTCTTTGATGAGGGCAGAGGCAGGAAGGTCTCCCTCCACTGCCATGGGTGAGTCACATTTCTCTCTTCTGCCCATGTGCGTGTCCTGGAACTGTCACTTCAGGTTGTAACCTGAACAGCTAAGCTGTAGCAAGTATGTGAATTCACAAGCACAGAAGCTACAAAAACAAGGATTGACTTCGTGGAAGGACAAGGATTGTAACACTTTATATCAGCAGAAAAAGATATTACCTGTGCAGATAACATGTAGCACAGCCCACTTTAAGCAGCCAGTAGAAGGCGACTTGAACTTGGGATCTTCCTGCCTCAGCCTCGCAAGTAGCCGGGATTTCAGGCACGCACCACTGTGCCCCGCCTGGCTCTGGCTTCCTGCAGAGGCCCTGCTCTCCCTACCCTAGCCCCAGGCAGCATGAGCAGACTCCTGAAGCCTGGGTGGGGAGCATCTGTCTCCTGAGGTCCCAGGTGGTGGGGTGACGGTGGTGGCCATGATCGAGACCCAGACGTTTCTGCGGGACTCAAGGAGCCAGAGCAGATGGCACAGTTAGATTCTCATCTGGAGTGGAAAGAGAATCGTCTTACATGAATTGAGGCCAAAGAAAACCCTGCTGGTTTTTGGAGATAGCATTTTTTTATGTGGAGCTTAAAATGATGCAATCCCTCCCCAGGCTGTATATATAGGGCACAGTTAAGGAAAAACTCGTTTTAATGACATATATTTTCTCAGGTGTCCAGACAAATATAAGCAGCAGCACAGCGGGCCTGGTGGTGAACACTTGTCATCTAAGAGGCTGAGGCAGGAGGATCACAAGAATGAGCCTGAAGTTGCCTGGGCAACTTAGTGAGATCTTGTCTCAAAATAAAAAAATTTTAAAAGGCTGGGGATGGAGGTTGGTATGAGAAAGCCTCGGATTCAATCCTCAGTACTTTTTTTTTAGACAGGGGCTTGCTTTGTAATTCAGGCTGGTCTTGAACTTGCTATACAGTCCAGGCTGGCTTTGAACTTCTAGCAGTCCTCCTGTCTCAGCTTCCCTAGTGCTGGGATCACGCCTGGCAAATCCCCAGTATTGAAAAAAAAGTACATCCCATCGCCAGGGCGCAGTGGTTTCTAAATCACCCCCGCTGCAGACCCTGTGTCAGGGCTGCCCCGCTGCTCCCTCGCCTCGCCCCTGGCTGATGTAGGGAAGCGCCTGCTGCCGTGTCCTGAGCGTGGGGTCTCCCGTGTCGCCTGCAGGGGGCACCGACATCATCTCCTGCTTCATGGGCCACAACACTTCCGTTCCCGTGTACAAGGGTGAGATCCAGGCCCGGAACCTGGCCATGGCCGTGGAGGCGTGGAACGAGGAAGGTGAGGGCTCTCATGACTTTCAGTGTGGAGGACACATGGCCTCCTTCCCTGACTGCTGCCCCCACGGGGCTCCTCGCTGCAGAGAGGGGCTGGGTGTGGCTTCTGTGGGTCCCCAGCCAGCCTTTGCGGTCGCCCTCTCGGCCACGCACTGTGGGCCACAGGGCTGGGCATGTGCTGTGTGCACTGCACAAGTTCATGGTCTGAAAGAGCCTGACTGCAGCTGCCAGCTCGCCCTGCCCAAGGGAACTGGGAGGTCAGGCCGGCCCGGGTTTGTGCCCGGCTCGCGCCCCACCCAGGACACTGCCTGACCCTCCGGTACCGCTGTTCACTCTTGGAGGTTGCCCCTTCGCCCACTCCCTTCTCCGCTCCTCTTGGCCTGGCCGGAGCCAGCTTCTGGCTCTGCTAGTGTGGGGGGAATGGTGCCTGGGGCTGCCGCCCCCCATTCCCCAGCCCGGCCCAGCCACCCTCTTGCCCTCCTGTGCGACCCCTGGTGACCCAGAGCGCGGAGTGGGGCAGAGGGAGGGCGTGTGTGCAGCCTGGGATGTGCAGCAGGGAACAGCACTGGGCAGCACACGCTGTGGCCGCGCGTGCAAGATGTGCATGGGCAGCAGCAAGAGCGGTGGCTCGTTCTCCAGGCTGAGCGCACACTGGGGACCTCAGGGTGAGCAGTGGTGCCCGGGGCACCTGCAGCAGTGGTGGTGTCCTGGCCCCGGGGAAGCTCAGCTCCAGGGAGATGTGGGGAGGGAGTCAGGGAGCTCAGGAGGCTTCTGGGGACGAGGCGGACTGCGTGCGGGGGGCCTGCGCACCTGTGTGCCCACTCTGCCTCCTCCCCGCCAGGCCGCGCAGTGTGGGGAGACAGCGGGGAGCTGGTGTGCACCAAGCCTGTCCCCTGCCAGCCCACACACTTCTGGAACGACGAGAATGGGAGCAAGTACCGGCAGGCCTATTTCTCCAAGTTCCCAGGTAGGGGCCGGGCTCCTCCTGCACGGCCGGCTGCTGTGGGTGTGCCCTGAGCCACGGGCCCCCTGTGTGGCTCCCGCCAGGGCCACCAGGTTCCCATGGGGCGGGGAGGCTACTGCAGGTCCCCTCTGCCACCTGCTGTCAGGGAGGCGGCGGTGGGAGGGCCTGGCCCAGCTGCCCCTTCCTGTCCCCCACACGTTGCCCAGTCTCCTGCAGACGGGTTTGCAGCTGGCTTACCCTGGGGCCTGGCCCGCAAGGATGCCTGCCCAGGGGGGCTGTCTTCTATTTCTGGTTCCTGCCTTCTTCTCGGAATAAGCAACCTTCAGTTCCCGCTGCTCTGTAATCTGTAGTTTAGAGGCCTTCTGTCCCAGAGTTATTTATGCGAGGTGCTTCCCTGCTCTCTGCAGCCTCGAGAAGGTGATCTGGCTTTGCATAAACCATGTGCGCAGAGCCAGAAAGGGCCAGGTGGCGGATGGCAGTGGGATTCACCACGATCCTTCCCGGTGCTCTCGGCCTCACGTGTTGCTGTGTCAGTGTGAGAGCTGTGTCCCTGCGTGGTATGGTGTGGCACAGTGAGGCGTGGCGTCTCCCAGGCCTGACTTCTGGAGTCCGTCACCCCCACCTGAGGCCCGGGGAGGCCTCTGTGTCTCCCCCTGCCCTAGGACTCATCTTGTGCATTTTCGGTGACTTTCTGGCTCAATCACAAAGGCATCCTTGTGGCTGCAGAGTGTGGCGACCTGGGCCTGGGTACCGGTCGGCATGCGTGGAGGGCGAGTGTCTGGTGCCGGACTGGGCTGTGGATGTGACCCGTGGGTGGGGACACACAAGCCGGGCTTGGTCAGTCACAAGGAGCTCCTTGGGCCCACCTGGTCCGAGGTGGCGGCAGGTGGCTTCCAAGACACCACGCAGGCAGGTCACGCCTTTGCTCAGCGCGTCGGGCCCTGGGTTTGGGAGAGGGAAGTGGACGGGGCTGAGGGTGAGGCCCCTCGGGCCTGGCAGCTTTGCCGCACCCAGTGGAGCCTGCTAACGGGGTCAGCCAGGGCAGTGCTGCGTCTGGGCACCTCTGGGCATTTCCTTTCCCTTTTCCTCCACGCCCTGTCACACGAGGGCTGACTTTCTGCCCTGGCCACTGCTCCTGGTCTTCCCCGGCGCCCCTGCTGCCCCTGCACTTCCGTCCTGAGCCCTGGTGCCCCCCTCCCGGAGAGTCCCCTCCAGCGCCTCCCTGACTGTCACTCTGTGCTGTCCTCTGGCCCTGTCCTGTCGCTGTCCCCACGTCCCCCTGGGTGACCAGGGCGGTGCCTCTTCACAGGTGTCTGGGCCCACGGTGACTACTGCAGAATGAACCCTAAGACAGGGGGCATCATCATGCTGGGCCGCAGGTGAGGCTCAGCCCCTCTCGCCTTCCGTAGATGCGGGCGTGCAGTTCCTGTGAGCCACTTCCTGGGCGGTCACCGCTCCCTTGCCAGTGCCGCCCACTCCTGCTGGGCCTCCTGGGTCCCTACCCGGCAACCGTCCCCCCTTTCCCGTGCCACTCAGTTCCCTGCCCGTGGTGGGTGGAGTGGGGCCACGGCAGATACACAGCCCTTGCCTGTCACTGGTGATGTCACTGTGAGGAAGAGGGGTCAGGGTCACCTCCACCGCTGCCCTGTGCTCATGGCCTTGTCTCCCGCAGCGACGGCACGCTTAACCCCAACGGAGTGCGCTTCGGCAGCTCGGAGATCTACAACATCGGTAGGCGCGGCCTGCTCTGCCCCGGCGCAGTCCCAGGGTGGGTGGGTGCTCTGGTGTGTGGCCTCCTTCCCAGAACACACCTGGCCATAGCGCCACCACCGCTCCTAACCCTCAGGAGGGGCCGGAGTTCGCTGGGCCACCCCTTCCAGCAGTGTTTCACCTTCGTGGTGAGCTTGGTGGATCTAGTTTTGTGAGTGAAGAAACAGAAGCACAGAGAGGTCTCGCGCATCCTGAAGGTTGCCCAGCACCATGCAGAGCTTGGGTGCAGACTCTCGGCTGCCCAGTGGCTCCCCCAAGCCCTGGTGGAGAAACATCCACCCCCATCCCCACCAGGCACCTGTCCCTGTTTTCCTTGTCATTGACGCCTCATTAAGTCCAGGCCACAGGTGCTCTTGGCTTCCCTGTCCAGCTCCTGCCCCAAACCCCTGCCCCGTGGCTGATTCAGCACGATGGCTCCAGGGCCTCCTGTGACCCTGTGCCTCCTCCTGGTTCTGCAGTGGAGGCCTTCGAGGAAGTGGGGGACAGCCTGTGCATCCCCCAGTACAACAGGGACGGCGAGGAGCGGGTGATCCTCTTCCTGAAGATGGCTTCTGGCCACGCCTTCCGGCCTGACCTGGTCAAGCGGATCCGCGACGCCATCCGCCTGGGGCTGTCCCCGCGCCATGTGCCCAGCCTCATCCTGGAGACGCAGGGCATCCCGGTAAGGCACGGCACCGCGGCCCTGTGGGTGTTCTGGGTGCTGAGCAGCACATCCCGCTCCCGTCCACATTGCTTAGCAACACCAGTCCCCGCCCCCAGGCTTCGCAGGGTGCCACGGGCAGATGTCAGCAGGCCCAGCCTGCAGGGCCACCTGTGCTGCCCTTTGGTTCAGTTTGTGCTCCTGACTCCACTCCAGAAGGGGCTGCTGGGGCGCTTGTGGGAGCAGCGTGGGGTCTGTTGGGTCTTCCTGCTCGGCTGGGATTCAGAATGGGCGGGAGCCCCGGTGGGTCACAGTGAACGTGGCCGGCTGTCTCTGTGCCTGCAGCAGCCCAGGAGTGATCCCAGGGCCTGGCTGTGTGAACAGGACCCTCCCCGAGTCTGGTCTGTAACATGGGGAAGGACCCCCAAACCCCTACCATGCCCAGGAGGGAATGGGCAGGGGCGGAATGAAAGGACCCGGGGGTGGTGGGTGTGGTGCGCACGCCTGTAATCCCAGCACTCGAGGCTGAGGCAGGAGGATCGCTGTGAGTTCGAGACCATCGTGGGCTACACAGTGAGACCCTGTTCCTGAAACCAAAAAACAATGGGGGGCTTGGGAGCCCAGGGTGTCCCTTCCCTGGCTCATGTCCACCCTCAGGCCGGCCGTACCCATAGGGCGTTGCTACCTGAGTCTGCTCGACCCTGACAGGGGCAGAGGCAGTGTGGTCTGCTACTGCAGTGGCCACCTTGCTGGGACACAGTGCCCCTCACACACTGCAACTCAGGTGCTTTTCCCTCACCTGCTCCTGCTCCCCCAGCCTGCAGCCCTCCCCTCCCACCCTCAGCAGCGGGGTGTCTGTGCCCCAGGGCGAGGGTGGTGACGTGCTGTCTCTGGTAGCCCACCTTAATTAGTTCACATGTGGCTGGAATTTTTCAAATGAATGAATTTTAATTACATCTGGTGAGGAGTGCAGGGTGGGACAGCCAGTGATCCGGTTAGGCCTGGTTGAGGTGGGAGGTGGCAGTTAGGGGCTTTGACCAGGGAAGATGCCAGGCCACCCTGGCAGGGAGGGTCCCAGGAGGATCCCAGGCTGTGCAGTGTGAGGGCAAAAATCCAGGCTGAAGCCACACTGAAACTCAGGAGCCGGATGCTGCTCCTCGTCTGTCGTGATTGGAGGAGTTCACCCAGGGTCCCCAGCTTCCTGGCGGAAGTCACATCTGGGGACCCTTGGCACTCTGCTGGGGTCAGGTTTGTGCCCTGGATTTCTTCTGGACTCTGCACCCCGAGAAAGAGCCACATCTCCATCCTGCAATGGGGCTGAGGGGCCCAAGGTGGGCATCCAGCGGACTGTGGGGTGGACGTACTCATCCACCTGTGTGGCCCTGCAGTGTCCTGGAGACGGCCGTGTGGGGACGGGAGGGTGCTGGGAGCGCTTGGTGTGGCCCAGGTCCCAGGCCCTGGCGTTAAGGGTCCTGGGTACGGAGCGGTGCTGTCCACGCAGGGTCTGCCCTGTGCTCCGTGTGACCACGCAGCTGCCCGCTGTGTGGTGGTTCAGACACACGCCGCTTGCCATCGGGGCTGGGTGGTGTTGCCCTGGTCTGAGCTGTGCCGTCTGCTTCTCCCCTCGCCCGCAGTACACACTCAACGGCAAGAAGGTGGAGGTGGCGGTGAAGGAGGTCGTGGCCGGGAAGGTGGTGGAGCACCGCGGCGCCTTCTCCAACCCTGAGACTCTCGACCTGTACCGCAACGTCCCTGAGCTGCAGGGCTTCTGAGGCCGCACTGGCTGCTCAGGGCCCCATCGCAGAGGAGCTCGGCCACGTGGCCCGGCCTGCTGAGCGCGGGTCTCCCTGCCTTGCCTGGTGAGGGTGCAGTGTGGCTGTGGCCCTGCTGGCCTTACGGTGACAGAGCCCCAAGAAGCCAGGAGGCCTCAGCCTCATGAGCCCCTGTGCCTGTTGCCCTCCGCTCCTGGCCCCGGCCGTCCTTGCCCTGTTGATTGTCAGCTGACACTGGGGATGCCGTGGCCTCTGGGCCACGTCAGGGCGGAACATGGCTCCCGGGGGGTGGGGGGCCGGCTCCCGCCTGCCGCCTGCCTGCGGGAAGTTCTGTGTCCATGGTCTCCTGGAGTCTCTACGCTGAGAGTCCTCCCGGTGGTCGAAGTGTTTTCGGGGTTGATTCTGTGGCTGTGGGCATCTGAAGCACTCTGCGCCCTCCTGGGTCACTCTTAGGGCTGCTGGGCCACATGTGCAGGCTGTGTGGTCCCCAAGGGCCCCCGAGGGCCATCAGCACTTTCCACGGTCACGGCTGTGGCTGCCCGAGGTCTGACCTCAGCTCAGCATGTTCACGTCTCTCAGAAATCCCAGTGTTTGTTTTTGTATTTTTTAAAACGAAGCACAGCGAGATACCTTTCGGAATTGTTCTTCTGGGTTGTAAGTGTATGGGGAAAAGAGCTATGGAGAGTTTTATGCAATAAACATGTATGTGTGTGTGCACTTGTGCAGGCGCAGCATGCTTGTGAGAGGCGTGCTTTTTGGTGACCAGGTCCATGGCTGATGTGCGGCCACAGCTGTGACTTCCCGGGGGTGCGCTGAGCAGCTGTTTTGTGACCGGCCGGCCGAGGCCCCGCTCAGCAGGACTGCGGAGGATGTGGCAGGGCGCTGGGCCTTCCTACCCCTCTCCAGAAGCCCGGCCCACCTCTTCCCTGGTGACGATGCTGTAGGCCTGGGCTCTGAGTATCTCAGGCAGGACCTGTTATCCTCTCATGTGACTTTCCTGTGGCTGCTGTGACAAAGGGCCACAAATCAGTGGCGTACGCACCCCAGATTTAGGGTAACCCTGAAGCCTGTTCTGGTGCAGGCCTTGCTGAGTGAAACCGGGGTGTCTGCAGGGCTGGCTGCTCCCGGAGGCCCTTCCCTGTTTCCACTCCTCCTGGCATCCGTGGGGCCCTCCTCACACTGCATCTGGGACCCGCTGCTTCTGGGAGGACCATTTGGGATGTCCCAGGTGGCATCCCACCTGTCCCCTGCCAGGGGCCTCAGACCGTGGCTCTCAGTGGACCGAGGAGACCCCTCCTGCAGGTCTGCAAGTGCTTGGGCCATGGTCACATGGGGACCCGAGCCCCTTGTGCTCCCAGTGCTAGGGTGTCATCCACAGATCTTGGGGGTGAGGCTGGTGGCCATGACAGGCACCCCAGTCTGGCTTGCGGGCGTTTTCACACACTGGGCCCAGGGCATCCCTGAGGTCTTGTCCTTGGGCCTAGCTGGGATGGGGTGTTCTGCTCATGTGCCCTTGACCACACTGTTAACAGCAGCACCCCACTGTGTGAGGGGGGAGGGGGCTGCCTAGTTGGGTGGCTGGTGTCCTCCTCGACCCTGGTGGTGGTGGACAGAGTCCAAGGTGGCAGAGGGTGGGGACGTGATGGGAGGTGGTTATAGGCTCCTGGGGCCTGTGCTGGAGTGGCACCTTGGCCTGGGGTGTGTGTGTGTATGTGTGTGAGTGTGCACGCACGTGTGTGATGGCAGGCCTGGCCTGTGTTATCCTTGATTCTGAAGGCTAGACCACAAGGCGTAGGAGACAAACTTGATTTTCATAAATACTTGGGCTGTGTGTGAATGTGCACGTGCATGTTTTGAGTGTGAATGTGGGTGTATGTGTGTTAGTTTTCTTGTCACTAGGACATGATACCCAGTACAACTTGAGGGCGCAGAGGTGGAGTCTGGCTCGTGGTTTTGTGTGATTCAGTGCATGGTCGGCTGGCTCCAAAGCAGAAAGAACACGGCAGAAGCACACAGTGGGAAAAGGCCAGGAGGCAGACAGGGGAGGAGCCGGGGAGGGGACCCCAGAGGTGGTCACGCCCCAGTGACGCCCCAATCAGGCCCAGACTGTGAACTCATCCGCAGAAGAACCCTTAAGCCACCCCTGCGTTCGTGGCCTGGTATCACCTGGGAGGGCAGTAATTGTCCCCGGCTCCTTTCCTCCACTGCCCTCTGCCCTGATGTCCCCGCCTGGCCACACCGGGGCCCACAGCAGCGGAGCCAGCTGGCCACGGGCTGAACCCTGCAGGACCCTGAGCCGAGGCAAACGCTGCTCCTTCAGGTTGTGTCACAGTGGCAAGAAGCTGCCTGCACAACCAGCTAGGCAGAGGTCCTGAGAAGGGGACAAGTGGCCTAGAGAAACAACACGAAGGGCTGTTTGGAGACTGAGGGGAGGCAGTGCTGGGCGGGGACTGCGTTCTCAGGGATTTGGAGCCTGACTCCTTTCCTGTGCAGGCTGCACGGTGTGCCCCCCCCCCCGGTTCCCGCTCTCCCCCTTGTCCCTGGGGTGGACTGGGACACCCTGCCTTGCATCCTCCCTGGTTATGCAGTGACCGCCCTCCTCCGGGACTGCCAGGACTGCCAGGCCCCGGTTCAGTACCCACCACTGGAAAAGTAAATGAAACATGAGACAGGGTGCCTGGAGGCTGCCACCCCAGGGGAGCTAGGTGGGGAGGATGACTGTGGGACTGTGCAGCTCTGGCTGGCCTGGCTCTGGTCCATGGGAAGGGCCCAGACCCACAGCAGGGATCCCCTCCCGGCCCATTCTTAGTGACTCGCAGCCCATCTCGTGAACAAAACCCCCCTCTGCCTGCCATTTGCCAGTCCCTGCCGCAGCCTTCCATGTGCCGAGCCTCTAATTAGAGGGGGCAACTAAGTCAGCCTGTGTCATGAGGATTTGGATGCCAGCAAGCTGTGGGCGGTCCTTCCTTCTACCCCAGCCCCGCCACGTGGCAGGGGTGCAGTGTGCTATTTATACCTGTGAGGCAACGCTGCTTTCAAAATCACCCAGACTCTTATATCTTTGTTCTGGGTTTCTAGGAAGCGGAAATGTTCAAATTTTCCTAGTGAGCCCCTCTTTTGGGGAGCAGGAGACAGGGTTTCGCTATGTAGCCCGGGCTGAACTTGAACTCACAGTGATCCTCCTGCCTCAGCCTCCTGAGTGCTGGGATCACAAGTGTGCATGGCTGCACTCAGCCTCTCTCTCCCCTTTTTTAAATAACTGGACTCAGCTGTGCCTGTCTTCCCTTTGACAGGGACCTCAGGATCTTGTAAAGTCTGTGTCACATAATTGCTCTGCTGTTTGCACTGGTGAGAGGGCATTGTAAATGGCCGTGTGGGAGACATGACAGTTCCATTAGATCCGAGCTCTTCTTGGTCGACCTTTGCAAACCGAATTCAAGGAGGTTCAGTGCATCTGCTACATTTAATGTTTGCAGTTTGGGGTGGGGCCAGGCAAGAAATATTGGGGTCTCTATGCCAGCTGCTCCAGCTCCCCCCACACTTGCTTCTTCCCCCTGGACGTCTCCCTTGGCTCCAGACAAAGGGAAAGCAGTGGCCCAGGATCTGTGGCCTTGGGTGCTGTGGTCTCATCCTCTGCTCCATCAAGGTGACAGTGTCCTTTTTAATATCTGCCTGCAGACCCCAGGGCAATTTCTAGGTCCTGAGTTATCCAGCCTTCTCTGAGGGAATCACAGGGAGTTTCAGGCGTGGTTCTCAGCCTTTTCACAATTTCTGGGAAGAATTCTGGGCTACAGAAATGGTCATCTGTTGAGAGCAATTCTACATAATTTTTGGGAAAAACATTTCACATTAAATTATGGTTAGGTCTAGTTTTCCATCCTGTGGGCCAGCTATGGCGTGTCGAGACATAACACCATTTCTCCTCAGGTCACAGCTAAGTCCTCAGTGGTTCCGTGATGCTGTGACACTTCAGGGCAGGATTGCATCAGCAGAAGACATCCTGGTTTCTCGAGAACTGAGTAGTAAGACAAAGGTTTCACCTGGGGAGGGACAAATTCCCAATCAATCAGTGTAAATTTTTTGTCCACCTAGGGTCTTCATCTGCATAAATTCTTCATTGTCCTAAAATTATCACCGCCCTCTGAGTCACCTGTTACTCCCAGTGTTTGTAATAGAAGTGTGGCAAGCTCAGAATGCCTTTGTCTTTGCTGCCCAGAGCGGCACTGATCAGGCCCAAAGCTCAACTTTTTCTCTAAGTCTCATTTCCTGTCTTTATTAATTTGCCTTGTGCTGTTGTGCCTCACGGGAGACCAGGACTCACCACAGGGGCCTGGTAACTTCCCCTTCCCCTGTTTCCCACAGTCTTCTCTCTTCATCTGTGTTCCCGTTGCTGCCATCAGGGCTGCACAAACCTCTTGACCCCAGAGCCAAGGACTCTGGGCCTGCCTGTGGACCGGCTGCAGAACCTCAGGACCACGCCATTGGGATCCTTGAGTTCATGTGTACAGGAACAAATCAGGCTTTGGTGAGGATGTAGAGAAACTAAAATCTTCATGCATGGCTGCTTGGAATGGAAAACATGGCAGCTGTTGTGGAGAACATGCTAGCATGTCCTCCAAAAGTTAAATATAAAAGATTGCATGTAACCAGCAATTCTGCTCCTGAGTCTGCACCTGAAGCAAAGTTAGGACTCAAACAGAAACTTGTATGCAGTGTTCACAGCAGTGCTTTTCACAGTAACCACAAGGTGGAAACAGCCTGAGGGGTCACAAGACAATGGGTGAACAGAACGTCTCTCTGCACTGTGGAATATTGTACAGCCTTGAAAAGGAGTGAAGCTGGCACAGATGAACCTTGGAAACAAGATGCTACCAAGTGACAGATGTCGGCCACAAAAGGACATAGGCCACAGTATCCTAGGATTTGAAATACCCAGGACAGGCAAACTGAAAGAGGCAGAAAGTGCAGTGGAGTTTGTGCAGGGAGCAGAAGAAGGGAGAATGGTGTGATGGGTTGAGAGTTCCCACTTGGGAAGGAGGAAGTTCTGGATTGGAGGGGGTGGTGGCAAACAGCACCGAGAATGTACTTAAGGCCACTAGATCGAACACTTAAAATAACTCAAGTGGCAGTTTTGTCACTTTATGTAAAATTACACATACTTTGCCACACTTGTGGTTTTCGTGCTGGAATACACATATTCTGGGTCTCAGCTGCAAGTGCTTCTAGGCCTTGCATGTGGGCGCTGATTTTAGTGGCTTGCGGAAAAGCCTGGGCCCCGACACTGTACAAAGCTGGCCAGAGGGACAGGTTTCCTGGAGCAGGGACAGAGTCGGGCACTAAGTCCCCAGGAGGAAGACTGTGGGCTCAGGACTGGTGCGGTCCACACAGAACACGGAGTCGCAGCGAAAGTGGCGCCACCTTCAGGCCCAGGCAGGTGAGACCCCGATGGAGAGCGTTCTCAGACTGGGCTTTCAGTTGGAGATGGCTGGAGCTGTTACCTGGGCCGCCTTGGCGGAGGAGGTTGGCAGGTGGTTCAGTTTGAAGCAGAGAGAACCAGGGGCTTCACAGCGTCTCGTCCAGCCTGAGTGCGTGCCTCCCTCGGCTGCAGTTTTAACGAAGCATCTCACGTGCTCCCCGACTCGCGTTTCCCGTCAGAGGCTCTGTCTCCCTTGTGCTCCTTCGTTCTGTTCTCTCACTTTATTAAATTGCTGAATTTT